CATTATGGTCGCGCCGAGGAGATGGCTCGGTAGAATAAGCGCCTTCTTGGCAAGCGCAAGGATATGAATTCAATCACCGGTTCAGGAAAAAAAAAAGCATTATGATCTGCAAGTGTTTATCTTGTTTTCCAACTAATGACTTAAGTTACTCTTTATACCAGAGTTTTCATTGTGGGTAAACACATTTTTGTATTGTTTTTGAGATGCCCTCTCTATGTAATGCAGGCTGGCCTCAAGCTTGCCGCAATTTTCCTCTCAGCCTTCCTGAGACTAGAGGCCTGCAGCATCACCCAAGGCCCACTTTTTTTTTTCTTTTCTTTTTTTTTTGAAACGGCATTGCTATGTAGTTCAAGCTGGCTTTGAACTCATTATGTAGATCAGGCTGGCCTTGAATTTACAGCAATCCTCCTGCCTCAGCCTCAGGAGTGCTGATGTTGTAGTCTGCTAAATTAGATAGAAAAATTATAGGCAGTCAGACAGGGGTAGGCCCTCAAGGAGAAATAAAGAAGACAACTGTGACTTTGCACCTTTGGAAGGGACATACACTTCCGCTTTGGGCTATACTTCAAGACAAAAATAGGGCTGAGGCGATAGCTCAGTAGAATAAGCGCTTCCCTGGCAAGCACAGAGTCTTGAGTTCAATCCCCAGTAACGAGAAAAAAAAAAAAAAAAGACAAAAGTAAACAAATACAGGGGCTGGAGAGATGGCTCAGTGGTCTAAAGCACCTACTTGGAACAAGCTTTGCAAAGCACAGGGACTGCGGTTCAATCCCCCAGCACCACATGCCAGCCAGCCCCGCCCCCTGGTGGGCTGAGCTGGCCACACACAATAAATAAATGTTAAATAAATAAATAAATAAAATAAATTAGAAAAAATAAATACAGCTTCCTACTTCCCTAGAGATGAGCATCAGGGATTGATACTTTTTTTGTTTTGTTGTTTTATGTATTTAGTACAGGGTCTACAGGCTCCTACTATACAGATTGGACTCCTAGTGATCCTATTTTTCAGCCTCCCAAGTGCTAGGATTATAGGCAGCATCAGTCGCTGTCAGCACACCTGAGATCAAATCCCGAGATCAAATCCCGGTCCCTGTGCCCGCCTAAGCAGGCACATTAGTCTGCTGAGCTATCTGGCTGGCCCTTGATAATTCTAAATAGCTATCAGTCACCTTGAAAGAGCCCCAAAGAGTCACTCACCCAACCCCCAACAGGAAGAGACCCTGTCCCATGACTTGCTTCCTATTTGGTCCTGGATTTAATCAACTTTACATTTGCCTTCGACCCACCTTACAGCATGGTTTTATAATATGGAAGTCCCTGGAAGAGAGCTTCCTGGGACAACCCGCTAGGGCCCCTATTCTATCCTCTCCAGACAGCAGCTTTCTTTCCCCCAATAAATCTATTCTTCTTTTAACCTTGTCTGTCTTGAAATTCATTCTTCAGTTGTGGAGAACACCAACTCTGCCCCTCCTGGGTAACTTTCCTTTCAGGTGGGCAATTTCATCCCTCTGTACCACTGGGATTACAGGCTTGTGCCACCACGCCCAGCCCTCTACATTTTCTTAAAAGCAACAGCTCCTGCATCTTGGTTTTGCAGGGAGCCTGCTTCCCAGGCAGTTTCTGAGCACTTCACGTCTCAGCACTGAAGTAGCGAGTTAGCCTTTGTTTTCCTGCTCTACCCACTCAGCCCACAGCTCCAACATCCCCTGCCTTCCTCCCTTCCTAAAAGGCAAGATGGAGCCCCTGGGAGAGGTATCCTGTGGTGGCTGAAAGGCTTTTATGTTTTGAGATAAGGACTAGCTATCTGAGGCCTGCCTCTCAATCCTCCTGCTTCAGCTCACAGCACTCCTACCTGCCTGAGATCAAACCTTGGCCCTGTGCCACATCCCCAGCCCTTTTATTTGTAAATTTTGAGACAGGGTCTCCCTAAATGGCCCACATGGGACTGAAACTGCTGGAATTATAGGCATGCACCACTCTGTTGACACCTATCATCTTTTTAGCTTTTTAAATCTACACACATCTGCCATCCTAGGACTCTGGAAAGCTGAAGCAAGTGGGTCACAGATTCAAACCTAGTCGTGGCAATTTAAGAACCCTGTCACACACGCACACAAAAGTCCTGAGTACACAGCTAAGCGTGAAGACCTTAGGTTCAGTTCCTGTGAAAAGACCCAACAAACCCAGAAGAGTTGTGGGGACATCTCCAGATCACCCGGACCTTCACCCTGTGACTGCTGTATTGTATCCCCAAGCTGTTACTCCACCCCTATTTGTCCCTGACTGCTGTTGCTTTGAGTTGATCCCTACACAAGGTCCCAGTAAGTGCATCCCTGGAGGCCTGGGGAGAATTCTCCTGAAGGAGAGGCAGTGTTCAGAGGCCGGGAAAAACCCACCCACATGTAAACTGCCCTTGGTATACAGGAGCCCACCTACAATGGCAACAAGATTACAAATCTAGCCCAGAAACCTCCTGGAGTCAACTTTCTAGATTCAACAAATATGAGACATTTAAAGATTTTTTTTTTTAATTTTATTTATGTGTGTGTGTGTGGCCAGCTCAGCCCACCAGGGGGGCGGGGCTGGCTGGCATGTGGTGCTGGGGGATTGAACCGTGGTCCTTGTGCTTTGCTAAGCTTGTTCTAAGTAGGTGCTTTAAACCACTGAACCATCTCAACAGCCCCAAAATATGAGACATTTAACACAAATCTGGCAGGATGGTGTAACACCAGCTACTTTGGAAGCTGAGGAAGGTGTACTACAAGTTCAAGATGAGCCTGGGCAATTGAGACCTTGGGTCAAGTTTTGTTTTGTTTTTTTTTTTTTATTTTTTTTTTTTTTTTTTTTTTTTTTTTTTTTTTTTTTTTTTTTTTTTTTTTTTTTTATAAAATTTTATTCTTACATGTACAACAGACTCCAAGAACACACTTCACTGTAGTTATAGGTGTCAAGAGATGTTATGGCAGGGCAGCCAGATATCTGAATAGGAATGGAATCCAGGGTCGTCATCATCGTACACACAAGGAGCAGTTTATTTTTTGCCAGATTTCTTAATTCCACCTGTGGCCAGGGGGCCCTTTCCCGCGGCCTTCGTTTTTAGCTCCTCAAGTTTCTTCTGCTCTTCCTTTTGCTTCTGTTTGAACGCTCTATCTTCCTCGTCCATCTCCTTGGCCTGTTTCTTGGGCTGCTTCAGGGGCTTCTTCTTGCCACCTTCGCGGCCCGACATGGCGCCCGCACACCCAGCAGAGCAGAGCTCAGAGGCCAGCAACCAGCCCGCCGGCCCACCCCCTGCGCTTCTTGGGTCAAGTTTTATTTGGTACAGGAATTAACACAGGACCCTGCACTTGCCAGGTAGGTGCTGCGCTGCTGAGCTACAGGAACGTCCCCTGCCAAAATTTAAGAAAGGACTAGGAGCAGCTCACAGAGACCACCGCATGCCCACAGCTCTAGGTTTGTCCCCAGCACTGCAGAAACAAGTACGACACCTGGCACACAAACCTGAGCGGAGTGCGTGTAAGCCTGCTCTCTCCGCGCCAATCCCACTGCAGTAGCGGACCCAGGAAACAGGAGACAAGATCTCCAGGTGTGAGGTGTGCTGTGTCCGGGGAGCACTGGCTTGGGTCTGCCAGGTGCTGGTGCTGGACCCACACTCACACCCATCTTCTCTGGCCATCCTCAGGGCTGCACCCCTTCCCAAGTTTGCTTGCAGGCAGGGTCCCTCTGAGTGCAGTTTAGCAGGTTCCAGGCCTTGGTCCAGCAGGTTTTGGGACCTCTCTGCTCAGGCTGGGCAGGTTGGATATCTGGCAGTAGAAGGCGTCCTGGGCCCACACTACCTTCCAAGGGTCCCGAGCAAGAATGTGCCCCTGGGGGCAGTGACACCTCTTTCTTCTGGTCCCAAGCTTCTGGGTGCCATTTCTGTCCCTGCCTCAGGCATCAGGGATGGTCTGTCCTCACCATGTGAATATTGTATGTCTTAATACAGCAACTCCAGGGCCAGCTGGATAGCTCAGCAGACTAAAAGCACTTGCTGAGGCAGAGCACAGCAGCCAGGTTCAATCCCCGTATGTCCTGCTGGCCCCACCTCCCCGGGGGCACAGTGAGGTGGGGACTGAGACTGGGTGTGGTAACACAGCCCTGAAATTCCAGCACTTGGGAGGCTGTGAGACCCTGTACTTAATGCGTGAAAGAAAAAAAAAAAAATTACAGCAACTCCAGAAAATGGTCTTGCCACTAGGATTCTAAGTCATCTTGCTGTGGCTGACACCAGCTCTGCTACCAATTGAAACTCATGCATCCCTCACATGGCTGTCCTTACAGAGGCAGAAAGGCTAGGGATACAGCTGCCCCAGACTGAAAGGGAGCAAAGGGGCAGGGAGGACAAGCAGTAGCGTCCCAAGGTGGGACAAACGGGAGCAACATGAGGCCCGTCCTGTACATGCATGGCAGCACCGGGTCAGGCCCAGAAGAGCTCTGCCGAGCCACAGTGCTGTCGGGTGAGCCCTGCAGACATTTCTGGTGTTTCCTGTCACCCTAAATGTACCACAGTGCTTTCGCATCTGCAGTTCAATGCAAGGCCAAGGGCACGCTCATGCTCGGCACAGGGATGGGTGGGCCTGGCCCAGGCCCCTGGGTTACGTCATCCTCCCATCTGACTCCTTACCCTCCTGTCAGTCTTCCCCTATCTGAAGTCTCCCCTCCCATGTCCAACTCATAATCCTGGGATGGTCAAGGGTACCGCAGGGACAAACATCATGGAACTAGATTAGAACTCAGAAGAACCGAGGATGGTGTCATTTACTGCAAGTTAAGATTCAGTCTCAGAGTTCACCTTCACTTCAGTCTACTTTAACTTTAAATCTAAGCTAAGTTCATTAAATCCCTCCAGAGGCTAAGCATGGGCCAGGCCTCTGGCCTAGGGAAAAAAGGAGTTGGAGCACTCAGCCCTGCAGACGTTCTAAAAACGAACTGTTCCTACTACAAGTGAAGACAGCACAGCATGAGAACCAAGGGCCTTTTATGGGTACAACACTGACAGGCATCCCAGGTCCGTAACAGAGCAGGATGGACAAGCAGGCACCTCCTGGGGACAAGGAGCCTGTGCCCCTGAGCAGCTGGATGCACAGGACCACACACTTTCCTCGCCGGTACCCAGCATGCAGGAGGCCTCAAGCTTAGCTTACAAGCCCTGTGAACAGGTGCAGAAGAAGCCTGGCAGTTAGTCCGGTGGTCCTGGCTGTATCTTTCCCAGACTGAAGACATTGGACCTTGGTCCTCCAAGCAAACACCCGGTTCCAGGGAATAGCACCCAGACAGGCACTTACCCAGGTAATCGTCCATCAGGGAACCAATCGCAAACTGCGGGAGGAAAAGCCAACATGAGCCACAGCAAGGATTTGGCATCTGTCCCACCCTGAGCCTGAGCTTTGGGGCAGGAAAACACAGAGCCATGGAGCCACAGCTGCTGAGAAACCCACAGTTCTCAACCCTGCCGGGAAACAGTAGGTTGGAGAGGACAGCAAACTCACAATGTCATTCTTGTCCACACGGGTCCCCACGATCTTCAGGCGGATCTCATCATCCTGCTGAATAACAATGTCCTGGGGAGAGGACAGTGCAAGCCGCTTGTGACTGCCCAAGCCATGTTCCCCTCATAAAGGGCTCCCTCCTTCCTCCAAGCCGCCCTCAGCTCACCTCATCCATTGTCTTGTAGCAGGGTGGGTTGGAATTGGGGTCAAACTCCATCTCCGATGGGATGGACTGGAAGGAAAATGAGACCAGTCAGCAGGCTCTCCAGACACTCAGGAGCAAGGCTGTCCTCTCACCCCACCACATGCCACACTCACATGTCGAGAGATGAAGCATGACATCGGCCCGATTTCTGTGAAGAGCCCAACCTGGATGAAAACAAATGACTGTGCTGTCTCTCTCATCCCACAAGACTTTGCTATGGAGTGTTCTAGGTGCCCCCTCCCCACAGCCTCATGCAGTCATGGGCAGGCTTCTAGAGTTTGTGATTAATTCATGATCCACTGCTAGGATTATGGGTTTCAGTGCTGCACCCACCCTGGGTAGATAGCCTGGATGCAGTATAAGGGAGAGAAGCTTGCTCTCTGCCACACCTGCTGATCCTCCCTTTGCTCTTTGCAGATGCCATAAACTGCTGCCCTCTGCCATGTTCCACTCTGCCTTGGAGTCAGCCAAGTATGGACTGAAAACTCCACTAACTGTGAGCTAAATAAACCTTTCCTTCCTTAATTTTGGGTGTTAGGTATTTTGTTCCAGCAACCAGAGAAAAGTAATTAAGACAGACTTAAGTGTCTGTGATTATTTGATTCTTTTTTTATTTTAAGGAAGGATCTACAGGGTGTTCAGGATCTCACTACTAAATCAGACTCAGTGATCTGCCTACTTACAGCCTTCCAAGAGCTGGGATTACAGGAGTGTACCACCATGCCCAGTCTCAATTGCCTTCTTAGCATGCTCTGGGGGCAGGGCCTACACAACAGGCCTGAGGATTGAACCTGTGGCCCCTGTGCCTGCTTGCAGGTGCTTTAATCTGCTAAACTATTTGGCCAGCCTTTGATTCTTACTATTGGCAAGGGAGATAGAACAGTGGCATAAGCTCCTGCCTGGCAAGCACAAGGGCCTGAGTTCAATCCCCTGTACAGGAAAAAAAAAAAAAAAACCACAAACAGTACTTAATTCTTTTTTTTTTTTTTTTTTGTGGAACTGGGGATTGAACTCAGGCCCTTGCGCTTGCCAAGGAAGCACTTATTCTACTGAGCCATCTCCCCCGCCCCAATACTATTAATCTTGTTTCTAACATGTCCAAATTGTAGCATTTATTTCTGTTAATGTTTGTCTTAAGTAAATCCAGTGTCATCATAAACAGCACAGCCTAGGACTTAACGGCGAAGCAACTCGAAGGACTGTGATAAAGAGTGCACACACCCACCTTCCAGTCACTGCACATTGCCACCTTAACGCTGACTCACGTGACCACAGCAAGATGAAGAAACTGAGGCATGGGACTTGACTTGGCTAACAGAAGAGTTCCTAAAGCAGGCTCGCCCAGATTCCTGAGGGTCACCTGCATCGCACCCTGCAGTAGCCCATCCAGATGGCTCACCTTGTTGACCTGAGTGACCACAGCATCCACGACCTCACCTTTAAAGGGCCGGAAGACAATGGCCTTGTACTTAACTGGGTAAAGGACAAAGCCGCGGCCTGGCTGGATCACACCTGCACCAATGTTGTCAATGGTGGTGACAGCAATGACAAAACCATACCTGCAGAAGTGGAAAAGGCAGTGTATGTGTGTGTTTTTGGAAACAGGATGCAAGCCAGCTGTGAACCTGTAGCTCATGACTGTGTTCTCACCACCTGGAAGACTGATGTAGGAGAATGGTGAGCCCCAGGTCTGTCTGTTACTCAGCCTACTCAGCCAGACTCTGCCTCAGCAAAACAAAACAGACTAAGCAGTCCCTGACCGTTCTGGCAACTGAGGCCCAAACTTCCCACTGCTCGCGGACGCAGTCCCTGCTCCCTCCGATGCGCGTGGGACGACTCGACGCCGAGCTCGGAGGCATCGGCGCCGGCCCTCTTACCCGTCCCCTAAACTGCTTTTCCTAGTCCTTCTTTCAGAAACACTGAGGCCCTGGACCCGGGACAGAGGGCCGGCACGCCGCCCTCCACAGGCTGCGTGCCCGGCGCGGGATGCCGGTAGGGTGCAAGGGCCTGGTGCCGGCCCGGGCCGCGCTCACTTCCCCGTGCAGGTCCCCTCCACCTCTGTGAACAGCTTCTGCTTCACCGTGTTGAGCAGGTTGGGACCGAAGTAGCGCGGATGCAGCAGGATCTCGTGCTCCAGGGAGATCTGCGGGGAGAGGACCGTGGAGCAGGTGAACGCGGGCCAGGGGCGGGCCCCGGCCGGTCCCCACCGCCCCACGCCGGCTCACGTGGTAAAACATTTTTCCGCGGAGCTCTCGTAGTCTGCGGGCGCGGCCGCAGCGGTCTCCCGGCGCCCCGGAAGTGCCTGCGCCGACTTCCGGCCTCTGCGAATCCGATTGGCCACTCGGCGTGGGCGGGTTCGCGAGGCCCCGCCCCCACCTCGTGCGGGCGCCGGGAGCCGCCGCGCGGCGAATTTACTCCTCTGGCCCGCTGGGCGTGCAGCGAGCGATGTGCGCGCTAGACCAGCAATTGCCGCCAGCGCACAGCCAGTACTTGCAGGCAGAATTCATTATGGGGAAAGGAGATGAAACAACGAATATTCAGACTGCTTCTCTCAATAAGCACTGCATTAGCCGTTTACCTGGTACAACTCTGCCCATAGTGTGTGTGTGTGTGTGTGTGTGTGTGTGTTACTTGGGATTGAATATTGAGCCCAGGGCCGTCGCACTGACCTACATCCCCAGCCATTTTTCTTTTAAGACAGTTTTATTAACTCGATAAATGCTGGGATTATGGGGCACTCCACCCACACACCCACTTCTGCAGACAGCCCCTTCCCCCCTCCATTGGTCAGCATGTGAAATCCTCCAGCTGAATTCTTGAGTCAAAATGCCCCTGCAGACAGCGGCTGGCTAGAACCCAGCAGTCGTTGGCCTTAAGCAGGCGTCCTGTCCCAAGTACTGAGCGTCTCTGTGTGGTAAGCGAGAACTGCTCTCTTCCGAGAGCTCACTTTCCTTAGTGCTGTCCCACTGCAGGGAGACTGGTTCCCAGGGACAGAAAACTACCTCTCAGATAGCTGTGGCTATCGAAGGCACATGGACTCCCTTGATACAAGGGAATGAAACTCGCAACCTAAGATACCTGGGCTGAGTTCGTGTTCTCTAAATCTAAAGAACGGGGCCGGGAGATGTAGAATAAGTGCTTCCCTGGCAAGTGCAAGGGCCGGAGTTCAATCCCTGGCTCCACCAAAAATAAAAATAAAAAATCTAAATCTGAAGAATGAATTCTAGGAACAATGGAAGTTAGGAGCACAGAAGGAGGGCCCGTGCGGGTTGCCCCCAGATCTGTCTTTTCTAGAGATTTTTATAGAGCAAAACCCATAGTGAGGTGGGTCTAAGGTAGAAAACAAGGGAACTGGCTAAGTGAGCATGAGGTGGGACAAAACTATGGTCAACCAATAAGATTACAAGTACAGTTGCTCAGGTAAAATTCCCATAGGCTATTGGGTCAGTGACTCTCTGGTTTCCAGGTGATTGATGCCTATTTAGAATATCAATCCCTGATGCCCATCACTAGAGAGGTATGTGGCTGCATTTGTTTACTCTTTTATCTTGAGGACTGGCCCGCAGAAGGGGTGGGTGTCTCTCCCAAGGTTGCAGCCATCTTGTCTTCCATACTGTCTCCTTGAAGGCTAGTCCTGTCTGACTGCCTATATTTCTATCTAACTCAGCTGCCTACAACATCAAGATGATGCATTCTGCTTGAGACCTAGCAACGAGAGCTCACCCCCTTGGCTTCCAGGTGTTTTATGTTCTCCCAATTCATGAACACGGAATAGCCATTTTTTGGTGTGTCTTTAATCTATTGTTGCAGTGCTTGGTGGTTTTTTGTAGAGGTCCTTCTCTTTTCCCGTATTCTAAACTGACCTGACCCAAACTTGTGTCTTTCACTGCTATTTACTCTACTGCCAAGATGCAGCCTGGAGCAAAAGGACAGTAGAGGGATGCAGAGGGTGATTGTCTCTTCCTCAGACCTTGTACTTGACAGGCAGGTGCTTATGCCACTGAGCTATATTCCCAGCCTGCCATCAGGTTTTTTAATTTGAGAGTACCTTGTTCAAGGTGTGTGGGGGGCGATAGAACGTTCCTGTTATATTTTCCCTTATTTGGGCAAGAAGTGCTGCAGCACCAATCCCCGCTTGCCTCGACATCTTCCTGTGGTCCTGGACCTCCACCACCAATCCACAACTAGTCCCACCCAACTGCTTCCACTATACGGCTATTTAGCCCCTGTTCACTTCCTCAATAAACGAGACTTGATCAGAAAGCCTGTCTTGTCTTCGTCTCTCGTGTCTCTTGCCCTGTCTTTTTCATCCCCGTTCCTCCTCCAGGTCATTACCCCACGTCGACTCGCGGGCCGAATCAAAGGTGGTCTCCAACTTCCTGTCTCAGCCTTCCAAACAAATGGGATTAAGGTGTGCACCAGCAGGCCTGCATGTTTCTTGGTTTGAGCAAGTGTGTTTATGTTAGCACTCAGGAGGATAAGGTAAAAGGATCACCAAGAGTTTGAGGCCAAGGCCGGGGAGATGGCTCAGTAGAATAAGTGCTTCCCTGGCAAGCACAAGGGCCTGAGTTCAATCCCTGGTTCCACCAAAAAAAATAAATAAATAAATAAAATTATGGGAAAAAATAAAACAAACAACAAAAAAAAAGTTTGAGGCCATGCTCATGTACAGTGAGTTCAGGGAGACTGTATCTCAAATAAATAAATAAATAAATGAGAACAAAATGTTAGGATTGGGGCATTTGTGTTCAGTGAGTGTGCTTAACAACAGCAAGACTGTATTCCCCAATATTTTATGAGTTGAACTCTGGAAATAGGGTTAAAACCGGTTGTCTTCTATTGCAGACGATCAGATAGATGTTCGCTGAAGAGAAGGTTAAAGATGCCAATTTTAATAAATTTGTGTGAACTATCTGGAAACAAACAGGAAGACCCTGGGTTCAATCTACAACACACATACACAAACACACACACATACACACACACAAAAGCTTATTTGTGTAGACAGTATATTGAAGAAAGTATATTTCTATTTTGTAATAAATAGCTATAATCTTTAGTTGTGTGTGTGAGATATTGAAATTTGAACCCAGGGGGCCGGGGAGATGGCTCAGTAGGATAAGCACTTGCCTGGCAAGTGCAAGGGTCTGAGTTCAATCCCCGGTTCCGCAAAAAAAAAAAAAAAAAAAAGAAAGAAAAGAAATTTGAACCCAGAGTTTCTGCACTAAGCTACAATCCTGCAGCCCTTAAATTTTACTTTTTTTTTTTTTTAAATGTTATTTATTTGTGTGTGTGTGTGTGTGTGGCCAGCTCAGCCCACCTGGGGACGGGGCTGGCTGGCATGTGGTGCTGGGGGATTGAACCACGGTCCCTGTGCTTTCCTGAGCTTGTTCTAAGTAGGTGCTTTAGACCACTGAGCCATCTTACCAGCCCCTTTTTCTTTTTCTTTGATGGAACCGAGGATTGAACTCAGGCCCTTGCGCTTGCCAGGCAAGTGCTTATTCCACTGAGCCATCTCCCCGGCCCCTATTTTTATTTTACTTTATTTAGTTATTTATTTGGCGGAACCGGGGATTGAACTCAGATCCTTGCATTTGCCAGTCAAGCGCTTATCCTACTGAGCCATCTCCCCGGCCCCTATTTTTATTTTACTTTATTTAGTTATTTATTTGGCGGAACCGGGGATTGAACTCAGATCCTTGCATTTGCCAGTCAAGCGCTTATCCATCTCCCCGGCCCCCTAAATTTTATTTTTGAGCCAGGGCTAGCATCTCTAAATGTAACTGAGCTAGAACTTGTACCACTCCTGCCTCAGCCTCCCACAGTGCTGGGATTACAGCCATGTGCTATCAGACTGAGGGTGCTTCATTTTGACCTTGTACAGTGGGAAGAGGTGCAGTGTGGTGTAAGTTCCGGGTCAAACAAAGGCCGGCAGGTACCTAGCATAGGGTGCTTGGCAGATGCCACCCGGTGGTTGCATCTGGGGCAGAGCAGAGCGCCGGGTGCAGATTAGCGTGGAGAAGCCGAGTGTGGCGACGCGGACAACGCGCTGAACGCCCAGCCTACCAGTGCGTCCGCTCAGCAGCGTGCCCCCTGCCTAGGTAGGATCCCCTAACGACGTCTCCAGAAGCGACCAGGCTTTTCATCTACCGCACGGGCACCCTGCGTCCTGGACTCGAGCGGGCAGCGCGGTGCGTGCATTTACCGAGGGAGGACTTCCCGCGGGCAACAGCGGGGGCGCGCGGCTGGGCCTCCTCCCCGGGACCCCTCGGCTGTGCACCCTCAGGCAAAAGCAGAAGGTCGGCCAATCCCGGGGTGCCAAAGCCACGAAGGCTGGACTAGGAGGAAAGTGCGCGTCCGTCCAGAGTGCCAACCAATCTGGATCCGCGCTCTGAGCGACGGCGACCACACCCGCTCGGAGATGCGCTCACCGCCTGACCGCGAGCTAGCAGCGAACCAATCCGCGACGGGGACGGCGAGCTCGCGCCAATCGCGGAGAAGACGGCGCGAAAGGGCGGAGCCCCGCTCAGGCTGCTTGTTGGTGGGTGAGACTAGGTTTTGCTGTAGTTCCCACCCCGGAAGCTTTGGGCCCTTGAGCGCGAGAGGCAGTGGCCCAGAGAGGGTCTGGATCGGACGTGGAGGCACCACTCCAGAGGCTTACGCGCCGAGACTCCCGGTTGGAGGAGTCGTTAGACGCTACGGGGTGGCCATCGAGGAAGCCGAGGCTAGTTAGGGGCGGGACTTCCGGGGCAGGGCTTTTCCTGGGGGCGGGGCCTGCTGCTACGCTTAGCGCGAGGGGCGGAGCTAATAGTACACGGGGTGTAAAGGGGGGCTGGTGAGGGTGTGGGGCAGTGTAGCTATTTAAATCGATCTTTCCGGGTTGGGGTGTTGGTTGCGGCCTTGAGGGGTGTGCCAGAGTTAGGGGCTGACACTGAGGCTGCCTAGGAAGTCACCTGCCCTAACCTGCTGCCCTCTCTCCCCAGGGAGCCACTTGTGGGGACCTTTAGGGGTGCCTTCCCTTCGTGGGGTGCTATGGAGTTTCCAGAACACAGCCAACAGCTGCTGCAGAGCCTCCGGGAACAGCGGTCCCAGGGCTTCCTTTGTGACTGCACGGTGATGGTGGGTAGCACCCAATTCTTGGCCCATCGAGCCGTGCTGGCCTCCTGTAGCCCCTTCTTCCAACTTTTCTACAAAGAGCGGGACCTGGACAAGAGGGATCTGGTGTGTATTCACAATGAGATTGTCACGGCTCCAGCTTTTGGGCTGCTGCTGGACTTCATGTATGCCGGCCAGCTGGCTCTGCGGGGCGACACGCCCATGGAGGATGTGCTGGCGGCTGCCAGCTACCTGCACATGAATGACATAGTCAAGGTGTGTAAACAGAGGCTGCAAGCCCGGGCTCTGGCAGAGGCTGACAGCACGAAGAAGGAGGAAGAACCCAGCACACAGCCCCCCAGCTTGGAGTTTCTGTCCAGCACTTCCCATGGTCCTCAGCCATCACTGGCATCTTCTGAATCTTCAGGCCAGTGGGGTAAAGAGGAATGGAAGAGCTCAGCTGCCCCCTTACCTGCTATCTGTCCTCCAGAGGAGCCACCCGTGCCTGGTGGTGCAGACACCACACAGCCTGGCATGGAGTTAGAGTCGTCAAATCTGCGGGCAGCACCCCCACCGGGGGCAGAAGGGTCTGTGTCTCTGGGCAGTCCCAGTAGCTCCACAGAGGCCCTGCCTACAAACTACTTTCCTTCTGGACTCCCTGCAATTTCTGTGGAGCCCCTGACTCCCCTTGGGGTGGGTCCTGAGAACCTGCGGGTGGTGGAGCCCCGGGACCCTGGAGGACCACTGCAAAGCTTCTACCCTGCAGCCCCAACCCCAGTTGAAGCCGAGCTGGTTCAGGTAAAAGTGGAAGCCATCGTGATCTCTGATGAGGAGACAGAGGTGACTGAGGAGCAGCCTCAGGGTCCCGAGAGTCTATTCCCACCCCCAGGGGCGCTGTTTGGAGGACAGCCTCCCCAACACCCCCAGCCCCCCCAGCCCTCCCAGCCCCAAGCTTTTGAGGAGCCTGGGGGTGTGGACCTGGAGGAGGCGGGGCCAAGTGACCACTTCCTGGCGCCCGATGCGCACTTGTCCTACCATCTACTGCCAGGATCTGGGCAGTACCCTCGAGGACTGGTGACCTTGCCGCTGCCTACACCCCCAGCCCTGCAGGAGCCGCTGTACCCATCCTCTGAATATGAAGCAGCCCCAGGTTTTGGGGCATTTACCGAGGACGTTCCCACCTGCAAGACCTGTGGTAAGACCTTCTCATGCTCCTACACACTTCGAAGACACGCCACCGTCCACACGCGGGAGCGGCCCTATGAGTGCCGCTATTGTCTGCGCAGCTATACCCAGTCGGGGGACCTCTACCGCCACATCCGCAAAGCCCACAATGAGGACCTGGCCAAGCGCAGTAGAACCGATCCAGAGGCTGGTTCCGTTCTGGGGATACAGCCCCACCCTGGCTCCCCAACTACAGATAGACAGAACAGTGGTGGGGGAGGGGCACCAAAAGAATTTTTATTTGGCCCCAAGAACTGATCTTGGGTGCAAGAGCTCTTCCCAGGCCTGCTCTTTGACTTCTTCGCCTTAGGGGGCAGCACAGAGGTGGTCAGCTTTCCATTTTTATTGTTATTTTTACTATAGGGTCTTGCTATTCAGTTCAGGCTGGCCTCGAACTGGCTGTGTAGCCCACGCTGACCTGGAACTCTCCTTGACCCTCCTGACTCAGCCTCCTAAATGCTAGGATTACAGGTGTGTACCCCACAACACCTGGCTGGCTTTCTTTTTCCCTTTATCTTTTAAAAAGTTTTTATTTTTATTTTGTATTTTTTGAGACAAGGTCTCTATGTAGTCCAGGCTGGCCTTGAACTCACTGTGTATCCCAGGCTGGTCTTGACTTCACAGCAACCCCCTTGCTTTGGCTTCCCCAGTACTCCTGCTGGTGAGGAAATGAAAGTTCTGCCTGGCGCAAAGCCCTTCCCGTCTCCTCCCAGCCAGGTGAGCAGGACTGCGGCAGAGCCCTGGGAAGCTTCCCAGGCATAACCACTGCCCCACATGCGGGGCCATAAAGCGCACGTGAAATGACCTTGAGAGCTGGTGTCAGCTGCTTTCTCCCAAACCTGCATGTTGTCCTTGCTTCCAGTTCTTTCATCTGACAGCTGTGGGTAGGACAGGTCTGATCATAATAAGAAAAACATGAGACAGGCTGTGGGGCGACGTAGGCCTTATTAGGTGTACAAAGTAGGGCATCCTACACAATTATGGTTTACTGCAATTGTGTTCTGGGCTGTATCGTGATTGTCACATGAACCCTCATCCTCCACGTGATGGGGTATGTGGCCCCATTTTGGGGTCTCGTATGGTCCAGACTGTACTATGTAGTCCACGCATGCCTTGGGCGCACAGTGATCCTCTTGCCTCAGCCTCTTGAGTGCTGGGATTACAGGTGTGCCACTGTGCCCAGCCTCACCCTCCTTTTATTTTTAATGTATTTTAGTCCAGAGTCTACAGGGTCTCACTACAGATCAGACTTGTGATCCTCGTTTTCAGCCTCCCAAGCACTGGGATTGCAGGTGTGCACCACCACACCCAGTCTCAGTTGCTATCTCAGTGCACCCTGGGGCAGGGCCAGCACAGCAGGCCTGGGGATCAGACTTGCCCCTGCTTGCAGGGGCTTTAATCCACTGAGCTACTTGGCTGGCCCTGCAAGTTTATTTTCTTTTTTGTTTTTTTTGCAGAACCAGGGATTGAACTCAGGCCCTTGCGCTTGCCAGGGAAGCGCTTATTCCACTGAGCCATCTCCCCAGCCCCCCTGCAAGTTTATTTTCGAATAACAGCCTCTTTAAGGTCTAGCCAGGATGTGGACCTAGCTGTATATAAATGTCCTTACTGTCCCAGTACGCCTGCGGAGGACAGCATGGCTGTGACAGGGCACCTGGGGGTGCAGAGCGGAGTGGTAGCTGGGGGAAGAGGCCCGGGCCCCGGGGCAGCCAGCAGGAAGGGACAGGGCTGGCAGCGGATGCTGAGGCTGCTGACGCTACCAACAGCAGGGGTTGCCGTGAGCTGAGGGAAGAGAAGGCTGCAGGGCCTGGGCTCCCCAAAAGGCCTCCTCCCTCCCTCGTGAGGAACACAGGGAAAGGGGAACACAGTACGCTTCTGGAAGGAAACTTTTTTCCTCTTTGGTGTGAGTGTGTGAACTTTCAGCATTCTACGTGTTTTCGCTGCCCAAAATTACGGTGGTGCATCCTTGTAGTTCCTGCCAGTGGGAGGCTGAGGCAGGGGGAATGATTGAGCCTTGAGTTTGAGGTTGGGCTGGGCAACTGCCAGGCCCTATTTCTAAAAAAAACTTTAAAATGAAATTTAAAAGTCTGTATTTTTCCTTTGCTGTCCGGAAGTCAAAATCAAGAATTTCTGTGTGCTACACAAAGACATTTCATCATTGAGCCCCTGCCCCATCTTTAACAGAATAGTAACGGAATACAAGTGTGGTCAGTCCCTGCCTGGCAGACACTTCAAGTTGTGAACTTACACACGTGCACACAGGTTTGCAGCACTGTTGTGGTCCTGCCAGTGTTCCTCATGGTGCCGTAAAGCACATGGCTCAGCTGGGGGCATCTGGGAGCAATGGGAAGGCAGTGCTGGTGAGGAAGGGACACCAGGAGCACAAGTGATATGCACTGTACCTTGATCTCAAAGCTGCATTAAGACTCCCCTGGTTGGACTCACCAATCAGGGACAACTCATGTATAGGGCCTTACTGTACAGGTAGCGGGGGGATGTGTGTGTCTGAGAACACTCTTTTTTTCTTTGGCAGAACCGGGAATTGAACTCAGGCCCTTGAGCTTGCCAGGGAAGTGCTTATTCTACTGAGCCATCTCCTCGGCCCCAAGAACACTTTCTAAGGGTCCCTCATGTCCCAAAGCTTTTCTCCCTATTCAGAGCTTTCCTATCTTGTGTGGGAACCACAAGGCCTAGGTACGGATGCAGCCTCCAGCTCCACAGAGGTTGAAAAATAACAACAAAGCATCAGAAAGCAGAACCAGCCCCAAATAAAACATGCGACCAGACTGGGGATGTAACTCAGTGGGACAAGTGCCTGCTTGGCAGGTGCAAGTGCGTGAGTTCAATTCCCTGTACAAAAACAAACAAACATGCACCCATGACAACTTTAATTCACCTTTTAAAAGCATGGTAAAGTAGACCTTATCACAGGGCCACATGACAATACACGGCTACGGCAAGCAGGTCTGCTGGGGCAGACTGGACTTGGCACCCAGTGCAGCAAGGACACTGGGGTTTATAATCCTGGCATATGGCCAGCTGGGCTGGAAAATTACTAGCAGAAATAACACAATAAGTGGCTTCTGGCCAAACTGCTTTGGTAAGATTTTTTTTTTTAATTTTTATTTATTTGTGTATGTGTGTGTGTGTGTGTGTGTGTGTGTG